TAAAACAAACAGAAAACAACAAAAACACCTTTCTGCAGAGAAGTAAAGCTCAGTGGCCTGGTGTGGGGACTCGGGCCTGGAAAACCAGCCCTAGGGAAACAGGAACAGAAGGATCACTGTGAGTTCCTGGCCAGCCTGGGCTACACACCAAATTCTGGGCCAGTCTTGAGAGCAGAGTGAAACTCAACCCAGGGAGAGTGAGAGCAATAAAACGGGATAAACGTAGGAGAAATCGATGACAAGTCGTTCAGACTACTGAGGAAATAACGTCTTCCGGTATATTGCCCCCGCCTTCCTTCATTAACACATCCCTGGCATTGTCAGACCCACATTATGGAATTGGAGTTAGGTTAAAATTCCACTGTTGGAAGCCGTCTGTGGGCAGGGAGGATGCATGTGGACCTGAGGCCTGTCCTGGTTTCTGTTGGGCTAGCCTGCCTGGCTCCCACTTGTGATAGATACCTTGCTGTCTGAACCCCCACCCTTCCCCCACATCTCTGTGGCTTGTGAGTGTGCAAGCATCTGGCATGGATGCAGAAGGGCCAGTGTGGAGACCAGTCACTTTACTTTGGGGGCGTAGAAAATGCCCTTTCTTGGTATCAGCCATGCAGGCATCTAGTATGTACATGTTATTTTTGTGTCGGGGTGCTGGTGTGTAGAGGGCAGAGGTAACTTCAGTGTTACTCCTCATGTGCTGTCCGCTTATTTGGGGAACAGATGCTCTCACTGATCTGGACCTGGTTCATTCCACTCCCTGGCCAGTGAGCTTCCAGGACCCGAGCGTGCACCGCCATTCCTGCGTTTTCTTGTAGGTTCTGGGGCTCGAACTCAGGTTCTCCTGTTTGTTCGGCGAGTACTCTACCACGAAGCCACCTCGTGAGCCCCACAGCTGCAGTTTCTAGAAAGGAAATGAAGAGATAAGCACAGTTGCATCGAAAGAGAAAAGTCCTTCCTCTTTTGAACAGCGTTTGCGTTATAGCGACTTGATGTTTTTTCCCCTCCTCGACCTTACAGTCTCCCAGGGGGGCCACCAGGAAGGTCAGGTCTGGGGAAGAACTTCCAGTCCTCCCGGCTCAGAAAAGCCCAAAGCCACTGAGGCAGGTGGTCCAGCCCCCTATGGCTTCCACTTGAATCTCCCAGAAGGAGTGCCGTCCTGGTGGGGGGCCAGAGGAAGTGCTTACAGGCGTGGTCAGGGCCAGGTGTGCTGGTGAAGGCAGCCAGCTCTGGAAGGAGAAATAAAAAATGCGGCAGAACGGGCAGAATGAGCAGGGGTGTACCCGGGAATGGCTGTCCCCTGTGGTAAAGTAAACCAGCTTCTTAAAGGGGTTGTACTTTTGCTCCCACTGGACAAACCTCTGGAAATGGGTGCTGTCAGAATGCCTGGCAAATGAACCATTCGTTTGCGCTGGTACGAAAGTGGTGTAGTTTCACTTCTCCTGAAACCAACGGACCAGGAAGAAAGCACACACGCATATGTGTTCTCTCTCTCTCTCTCTCTCTCTCTCTCTCTCTCTCTCTCTCT